GGCATGTGACAGGTCAGCCAAGCGGTCACACAGGCACAGGTTGCCTCTAACACACTCAGGTACTCTCGCGCTAGCGAGGCCGCCAGTACATCAGGACCTCTGGACAAACGGTACGATGGTCTATCTGTTTGCTGGTAACCAGTTGGACGGTGGATCAGTGTTTAAAGGGAAGATGCGTTTAAGTGCATCAATTTGTGAGCCATTCCGTCATACTGACACTCCCACAGTAGGATCGAGACAGCGAGGTGACGTAAGACTCTCTTAATAGAAGTGTTCTCCAGCGCATGGGATCATGCGCGATGTGGTTTTGTTCTCTTGTTCTTTTTTAATATATTTATTTATTAATTTATTTATTTAAATATCAGAAAGGGGGAGGGGGGAGGGGAGAGAGGGAGAGAGGGAGAGAGGGAGAGAGGGAGGGAGGGAGGGAGAGAGAGAGAGAGAGAGAGGTCTTCCATCCACTGGTTCACTCCACAGATGGCCACAATGACCGGAGCTGAGCCGATCCAAAGCCAGAAGCCAGGAGCTCCTTCCAGGTCTCCCATGCAGGTGCAGGGGCCCAAGCACTTGGACCATCCTCCACTGCTTTCCCAGGCCATAGCAGAGAGCTGGATGGGAAGTGGAGCAGCCGGGACTAGAACCTGTGCCCAAATAGGACGCCGCTGCAGGCGGTGGCTTTCCCAGGCTTTTTGTCTCTTTGTGCCTGCTGTGAAGGTGCCGTGGCTGGATCGCATGCACACCACAGCGAGCACGCGTGTGTGGCTTTTCTTTGTCTCGCGTTGCTGTCGGTGCCCAGGGTCTGGGCGTGGGTCTGTCTTCTGGGGTGACACAGACCTGAGCGTGCCCAGGCCCACACGGCTCGGCCGGGCGTTCAGTAACCATCCGGTGCTTGTCTGAGCAGCCCGCATTCCAGGGAGGAAACCAGCTCTCCTGAGACTGTGTTTTTTTAAACACACAAATGACATTTTGCTGTCAGAAGGCTCCCTCCCCATGCCAGGCCCTGCTCCAAACGCACTCTCAACCCCAAGGGGGGAGTATAAATGAGGATGGGGTGGTGATTTCCACATGTGTACTGATTCTTCGTATCTTCGAGACAACTTCTAAACAGCCAGTCTGACGCAGGGGGCAGGGCCCTGCATAAATCTACCCGGGAAGGCAAACGTTCTGTCATGTGGGCGCACGGGAGGACGAGAGCTTCCGTTCACCAAATAATCTGGCATGTAGTTCACTCCCCAAATGGCCACAGCAGCGAGGTGTGGGCCAGGTCAGAGGTGGCAGCCAGGAACTCCATCTGGGTCTCCCATCAACGTCTGTTTTTTGGGTATTTTGAGCAATCTGGTGGGGAAGAGCTGTCTGAGAGGCAGGTAGATTTTTTACGGATTAGCACAGGCCATGCTGCGCCTGTGGAACTAAGATCCAGCCCGAGGAGTGGGTGTTTGGAGCAGCAGTGAGAACGCTGCCTGGGACCCCCACATCCCACGCTTGGGTCCGAGTCCCCACCCTGCTTCTGAGTCCAGCTGAGCAACCTGGGGGGCATCAGATGGTGCGTCAGGCACTTGGGCCCCTGCCACCCATGTGGGAGACCCGGATGGAGTTCTGGGCTCCCAGCTCCGGCCCGGCCCAGCCCTGGCTGTGGCAAGCATTTGGTGAGCCAGCAGATGGAGGATCTCTGTTTTTATTCAGCCAGAGGTAGAATCTGCTTCTTACTTTGGGTTACAAAGCTGTCCCTGTTTCCTCCATTGCAACAGCCTCCTCTGTCCCTGACCTGTGCCACCTGCAGCTCTGGGCCTCGCAGGTCCTGTGCTGGGGGTGGTGACGGCCGCGTGTTGGACTTGACAAGGCCGCCTCTGTCACAGCCAGGCAGGCAGTCCAGCGAAACAGACCCTTCCATGAGCACAAAGCCTGTGGATCTGTTGTCGCCGGAATGGCCATCATGCCTGGTATCGCCTCCCCTTGCAGCCTCACGGCGTTCCCAGTAGTGCGGTTCCAGATGTGTACCAGGTCTCGGGATTTGCCACGGACGCTGAGTGGCTATACAAGTGGAGAAGCCTGCAGATATGCGCTCAGGTGAGCAACAGACTTGCCCTCCCTCCCCCCCACACCCCGCAACTTGTGAGGGACTGCCCGGGGCCATGCACTCCCTCCCCAACACGCGGCCACACAGGAGGCTCCACTCGCTCTGCCGCTATCCTGCCCAAACACTGACCCCGAGGGCACACCAGACAGGCCCGGCCAGCAGAGGATGAGCACACACAGAACAAAGGGTTCTCATGGCCAGGGAGCCACCCCGCGCCCCAGTGGGAAGGCAGATGCGACAGCTCCACTCCCGGTGCTCCTGGACGGGCTGTGCTCCGGTGAGAGGTCGCCGGTGGGCATGGATGGGCTTCGATCCGGTCTGCAGGGGACTTAATGGTGTTGGTAAGCACTCTGTGGTCATCTGAGGTGTTAAGAGCTCGGGGAGGCAGGTGAAGGGAAGGTTGGGACAATTTGCATCGTTTGTGTGAATTTGGATTTTGCAAGTCTAAAATAATGTCACAATGTCAAATGATAAGAAACGAAGAAAACAGAAAGCGGTGATGGTCACAGAAGACATTGGTGAGACCTTGCATGTCCCACAGAGGGGGAGGGGAAGGGACAGGTGGGGCACAGGCTGCCCCCGTGCTGTGTCCCCACTCTCTTCCCAGGCGGTGGTGCCTTGTCCCTGGAAGACCAGGGTCAGCCCTGATTTCCTGCTGGGAGGGTCTGGAGCACCCCCGACTCCTCAGGAGGCTGCTTCCGGTGCCTCTGTGTGGCTTTGTGATTCTGTAAGGGAACAGTTCCTTGGACCTCTGTGCTTGAGGCTGACTTTGGCAATGGAGAACAGGCCAGAGGCCCCACGAGGGGACTCGGGGAGAGGATCGTGCGGCTTCCAGTGTGCTCAACCTGACTCCATGAGGTTCCGGCTTCTGGGGAAGCCGAGAGCGCGCCTGGGGTTTGGGTTAGACCTATCTGTGCACAGCTCAAATGCTACCCTGATGTTGTCTACTTCATCAACACGCAGATGGACGGAGGGGCTTCCGAATTGCCTGCAGGTCCCAGAGGGCAACCATGAGGCCTGGGGAAGCTGGAGAACTTGTTGGGGACCCCGGAGTTGCCAACACCAGGGACCAAAGTGCAACCCGAGGGTGCCCTTGGCCAGCTTGATTGCACTGGGGCCCTATTCTACAATACGCATGTGAATGACTTCAAACCCACTTATGTCTAAAGAAATGACTTAACCAGGGCATCTGTGAACAATTTCACAACTTTTCTGGGGCATGAACAATGTCCACAGTGTCAGAAACACACTAAGCAGAGAAGAATTTACGTTCTTATGACTTACACGTTTTGGCGGAACAGACCCGTGAGAGACATTTCTGGAATGCTAAGGGCATGGAACACCCCATGAATTTCTAGTTCTGGCTCACCCAGGGCCAGCCAGAAATCGCTTGTTTTTATCCCTGTTGCTGCGAACCGGGACTTTTCAATCAATAGCAGCTGTTTTTGGGGGGCTCATGGACCCTGCTCTGCGACAGAGATGTTCTGGTGGTCTCCGTCCCACGGACCGCGGCGGTTGTGGACACAGGAAACGGAGTGGGCTGGGCAGAGCCTGTCGTGAGCCTGGAACAATGCCCTGGAAGGATGCGGGGCTCATCATTGACCGGCGTTCTATAACGATGCAGTGCTCCCCCAACCGCCCCCCGGTCTGCTGAATGGAGATTTCCAAGGACGGAGCTTCCATGACGGGAGGCTTCCCTGCATCTATCAATGTAGGACACATTTGAGTGTTGCGAGAGCGGCGCGCGCCAGAAGCTACTGGACGTGCCTTTTCTCTGCGGGACCGGCACGGAGGGCGCTCAGTCAGAGTGGCGCCATCGGCGTCCAGCTTATGCTAAATCGGGCCTCATCCCCTCTCTCCCCTCATAGGAAAACAGCAGCAGAGAGACAGCTTCAATAGACTTAGAGTCCCCGAGGATTGATTGACAGTACCTTTGTCTGAACCATGCCCGGTCTCTGGTCCCTCAAGTGCTCCAGGGTTGCCGCGATATCAATCTCTTTAGCACCTGCAACAAACCACAAATTGGGCTGAGTTTAGAGCACAAGATAATCCACGCCGCATCTGTCAATCTCCTGCTATCGGGGTTCCCTTTGGGCTAAGAGGCCAATTGAAAATTATTACACTCAGCCCCTCCGCCGGCTTGGCAGGCAGCTGCAATTTCAGTGTTCATATAGAAAAATAAGGCAAGGGCGGCTTTCATTAGCATTAATTCACGAGAGCCAGGCGGAAGAACGGCTATAAGATGCCCATATAGATATCTGCCAACAGCAAGCCACGGCGTTCGAGCCCAAGGTTTTTTTTTTTTTATTCTTTTTTTTTTTTTTGACAGAGTTAGAGAGAGACAGAGAGAAAGGTCTTCCTCCTGTTGGTTCACCCCCCAAATGGCCGCTGCAGCCAGCGTACCGCGCTGATCCGATGGCAGGAGCCAGGTGCTTCTCCTGGTCTCCCATGGGGTGCAGGGCCCAAGCACTTGGGCCATCCTCCACTGCACTCCCTGGCCACAGCAGAGAGCTGGCCTGGAAGAGGGGCAACCGGGACAGAATCCGGCGCCCCGACCGGGACTAGAACCCGGGGTGCCGGTGCTGCAGGCAGAGGATTAGCCTAGTGAGCCGCGGTGCTGGCCAGAATTATTCTTAATTTTAAAAGATGAAGGCTTAGATTAACTTTTTATATCTTAATATTGGCTTTTCAACATAGAGCTGCCATCTTTTAAAATCGAGCGTTCTGAATGCTGATGACCAGTGACGATGTCCCAGGCACCGCCCTCCTGGGCCCTCCTGTGGAGGGGACCCAGCTTACAGCCAGGGGCGCTGGAGGCCCGCAGACAACGCCGTTCCTGTTCCAAAGTTTGGCCTCGTCATCAGTTCGACACGGACTCTCTCGCTTTTCTGTTTTGCCTGGTCCTTTAGCGGACGGATCATGAGCAAGCCCGGATCCCAACTCCTCAAGCTTGCTGCGGGGACTTTTTGGGGGGAGACGGGGCACGCCCATGATTTCAGTGACGCAAGGTACAGGGAGGATGCAGAGCATCCTCAAGTGTGCCAGGGGCTCCCTGAGCAAAGCCCACACAGGTGCCAGGGGTCCTACGGGCAGCGCTGGAGCCGGCGGCGAAGAGGGAGCTGGGATCACCCCGGTGGGCAGTGAGGAGACCACGACTTCTCCCAGCCCAGGGCTCACCCCAGCTTACACGCAGAGTAGGCGGCTGTGCTTGTCATGCCACGCAGAACAGGGCAAGCCACAGAGGACCAGGGGGAGAGACACGGCCCCAGTGGCCACTGGGAGGATTCCAGGTCTTTCTTTTCTGTACAAGCTGAGGTGGGTGCACGCCACATCCCTTCACGGTCCAAACAGGGGAGGGAATCTCTGAGGCTGGCTTTGTCTCTTAACCCCACGGTTTCTAGGGCTTTCCTGGGCAGCAACTGGGATTGTGTGTGTGTGTGTGTGTGTGTGTGTGAGTGTGTGTGTGAGAGGCAGGCAGCCATCAGTTCTGCATCAGCGGGACTGCCCTGAGCTGATGTGTGGAACAAGAGGAGGTAGAATAATGAGGTGCCCACAAGTCACCAGGGAGAGAGAGAGAGAGAGACAAAAGGCCTGGGGGTGGAGCTGCCGGCAGGTAGGGGTGGTTGGGAGGCCCTGGGCCGGAAATACAATACAAACCAATGTCATACTTGCATAAAGCAGAAAGCATTGAGACTGCCGTGTAGCAGGTGGGCAGGAGGCAGAGGTCGGAGCGGGCCGTCCCCACCGCACATGTGCTCTGCCAGCTGGGCGACCTGCGCCCATCTTCAGGTTTGGTCTCACCTCTCCACCTCTGAACCATGGATGAAGAAGCACTTGCACATTCTGAGGTGGCCAGGATGGTGCCTGGCAGAAATGGGGGCTTCATTGGCAGAGCGAAGGCTGGCCGGCTCCTGGCTTCCGATACTCGACAAAGGACATGAAAGTGGCCGGCGCCGCGGCTCACTAGGCTAATCCTCCGCCTGTGGTGCCGGCATCGGCACCCCGGGTTCTAGTCCCGGTCGGGGCACCAGATTCTGTCCCGGTTGCTCCTCTTCCAGGCCAGCTCTCTGCTGTGGCCCGGGAGTGCAGTGGAGGATGGCCCAAGTGCTTGGGCCCTGCACCCCATGGGAGACCAGGAGAAGCACCTGGCTCCTGCCTTTGGATCAGTGTGGTGCGCCGGCTGCAGCGCGCTGGCCACGGCGGCCATTGGAGGGTGAACCAACGGCAAAGGAAGACCTTTCTCTCTGTCTCTCTCTCTCACTGTCCACTCTGCCTGTCAAAAATAAAATTAAAAAAAAAAAAAAAAAAGGACATGACAGCATTCCGTCCGGTGCAGGGACACCCTGGGTGTTTGCCAGCTTGCAAACAGCAGCCTCACCAGGTGGGATAAGAGATCTCCCTTTTGGGACAGCTGAATGGCCTGAGAAAGCCATTCACGTGAAGAACAGGGGTCAAGTTCATGGGTTTTCTTAATTGCTGCTTTTCAGGGGTCGAAAGGTTTCAAAAGTTGACAAGGCCACAATCAATACAATCTTGTTTTAAAGGAAATCCATGAATTTTAAAATAGCATGGAACTCACAGATGAGCGAGTTAAGTGAGCGAGCGAGGAAGAGGAGGCGCACAGGCCCCTAAGGACCCCACCCCCACATGGCAGCTACAGCCCAAGGAATCAGCCTCCTGGCCTCCGCGGTCACATCAGCGGTGGGTGCCGACACAGCAGAATTACAGTGACAACTATGCAAAGAACTTGGCTTCTCCCCAGGACAAGCTGCCTTCTAATTGCTAAGGCGAGGTGAGAGAGAGCTGAGGCTGTAGATCCACGATAGGATGCTCTATTCTCATCGGAAGTGCCCAGCCCTCTACTCTAGCAGCGACTGTGCCTCGTGGCAGGTGCTGCACCTGCTGGACACACCGGGTATAGAGGGTCTGCTGTGAAAACCAGAAATAAGTTGTTGCAATTGCCGCTGCCTGCTCTTCAAGCATCCGGAGCCGGCGTGGGGTCTCACGCTGACTGTGGAGCACAGATTAGGCGCACCCACAGGCAGGCTGCACGGCCACCCAGCACCCACGCTGCTTGGCTGGCTCCTAAGAAATGGCCATACTTGTGCTGTTTAACTGTAATGTGTGAAAAACACCTTTAGGGGGCTGGCGCTGTGGCATAGCGGGTAAAGCCAACGCCTACAGTGCCGGCATCCTATATGGACGCCAGTTCGAGTCCCAGCTGCTCCACTCTGATCCAGCTCCCTGCTAATATGCCTCGGAAAGCAGCACAAGATGACCCAAGTCCCTGGGCCCCTGCATCCATGTGGGAGACCTGGAGGAAGTTCCTGGCTTCAGCCTGGCACAACCTTAGCATCAGGGCCATTAGGAGCGTGGACCAGCGGATGGAAGATCTCTCTGTCTCTCCTTCTCTCTCTCTGTAACTCTACCTTTCAAATCAATCAATCAATCTTCAGGAGAAAAGCACCTTTAGGGCAGGTGTTCAGCTTAAGCTGCTGGTTGCGATGCCACGCCCCATGTCAGCATGCCTGGGCTGCAGTCTCAGCTCTGTTCCCAACTCCAGGCTCCTGTGAACGCATCCCTGGGGAGCAGCAGGTGATGGTTCACGCAGTTGGGCCCGTGCAACCCCTGTGGGAGATTCCTACTGAGTTCCTGGCTCCTGGGCACTTGCGGGGAGCGAGCCAGCAGGTGGAAGCCCTGGCTGCCTCTGTCTCTCTCTCTCTCTTCCTTTCAAATAAATAGATAGATAAATAACAAAGTAACTTTAAATAGCTTCTCACAAATACCACTGTACATTACGGAGACTATTTATGTCCAGTGGAGCCCCTCTGCCAGCTCTCCGTGTCTCCTCCCAGTGCAGCGCTGTGGACGGTGAGAAGAACTGACAATAAGCCGGGGGAGCGCGCCCCACGGTCTCCCAGCGTCTCACAAACGTCCCGGTGGCTGGCAGCAGTAAGGAGGGAGGCAGGACTGTGCAGGCAGGGCAATGAGCCCAGAGAGGCAGAGACCACACAGCAGGAAAGCAGCTGACCACGGTGGAGTTTGTGGTGGGGCTTCCCGCCCGCATGCACAGCCAGCCCGCTGCTAGGTGACCTTAGCCTGCGCTGGGACACAGGAGTCCAGCGAAAGATGTTTCCTCGCACAGGTCTTGACTAAGTACAGATGTATCTATTGGCTGTTTAGAAAGTCTTCACAAAACAAAGCAAGATGGACTAAAAGGAGGAACCCGAGTTGCAGCCAGGCTAGTGGTGGCATAGGAGGCTGCGTGGAGGAAGCGGGTGTGTGTGTGTGTGTTACTGTGTCCCCTGTCCTGGTGTGTGTGTGTGTGTTACTGTGTCCCCTGTCCTGGTGTGTGTGTGTGTTACTGTGTCCCCTGTCCTGGTGTGTGTGTGTGTTACTGTGTCCCCTGTCCTGGTGTATGTGTGTGTGTGTGTTACTTTGTCCCCTGCCCTGGTGTGTGTGTGTGTGTTACTGTGTCCCCTGTCCTGGTGTGTGTGTGTGTGTGTGCGTTACTGTGTCCCCTGTCCTGGTGTGTGTGTGTGTGTGTGTTGCTGTGTCCCCTGTCCTGGTGTGTGTGTGTTACTGTGTCCCCTGCCCTGGTGTGTGTGTGTGTGTTACTGTGTCCCCTGTCCTGGTGTGTGTGTGTGTGTGTTACTGTGTCCCCTGTCCTGGTATGTGTGTGTGTGTGTCACTGTGTCCCCTGTCCTGGTGTATGTGTGTGTGTGTGTTACTGTGTCCCCTGTCCTGGTGTGTGTGTGTGTGTGTTACTGTGTCCCCTGTCCTGGTGTGTGTGTGTGTGTGTCACTGTGTCCCCTGTCCTGGTGTATGTGTGTGTGTGTGTTACTGTGTCCCCTGTCCTGGTGTGTGTGTGTGTGTGTGTGTGTGTGGTGTGTGTTGCTGTGTCCCCTGTCCTGGTGTGTGTGTGTTACTGTGTCCCCTGTCCTGGTGTATGTGTGTGTGTGTGTTACTGTGTCCCCTGCCCTGGTGTGTGTGTGTGTTACTGTG